GCCGAGGTGGTCTGTGGACTCAAATCACACATTTTAAAGTAGGGGGAAGAAAATAGGAAAAACAGGGACAGTAGGGGGCTGAGAGCTGGAGAAACACAAGGCTTCCTCACTACCTGTAGAGTTACTTCCATTTCAAAGTGACCCTACAGGGCCCAGTATAGAACACCCCACCACCACCCCACCCCACCCCACCCCCGTGAGTTTCTCAGACTATGAATCTCATGGGAATAGAAAGCCTTTCTACGGAGGAGCGTCTAGTAGTTTGAAACTGCCGAAAGCGTCACTCACTCCACCTCTGGGCTCCCGGGGCATAGTGGTTATGTGCTGGGCTGCAATATGCAAGGCCAGCAGTTCAAAACCACCGTCCACTCCACAGGGGAAAGACGGGGCTTTCTATTCCCTAAAGAGTTACAGTTTCAGGAGCTCACAGAGGCAGGTCTACCCTGTCCCACTGGGGCACTGTGAGTCAGCATCAACTCCATGGTGGGGTGTTGTTTTGGTTTAAAAAGTCGGATGGATTCGACGGCAGACAGAAGTGACTGAACAGGGGCTGACGGAGGTTTCCCGTTTTAAAATTTCTGCTGCATAAAAGGGTTTAAAAAAAAATCGACCACCCACAAACCACCCTGACGTTGTTCCCAATCATCCTTTTGGGAAAGAAATGTTTTGTCACGAATGAAACATTAAGGGCACAATCTCCAGGCGAAAGACTGTGCTTCCTGGCCCCTCCTCTTCCCCCTGAAGAAACCCACTTTAAGAAAGACTCACTGCTTTTCAGCATTTTGCCACAGTGGGAGGTCTGTGTTTGGGGACCAAGAGCTGGGCCTAATGTGCCCACCTGGCCCCCACATCCTTTCCTCTACTCCCCACTCCCAGCACGTCAGCCCCCAGAGGAAGCCCAGGAAGCCCTGGCCAAGCACAAAGCACACGACTCAAAAGACCAGACCAAAATGGGCCTGGGGCTCATTGCCATCACAGGGCAATGCTCCCCTCTTTCTCTGGCCCCCCTCTGGTAGCTAACCCCCCTACCGAGCTCCCCGCCCCGGGGACCCTCACCAGGCGGATATCGTCCTGTGGCCGAAGCAGCTGCACCATGAGGTGCACGTGCTGCCTCTGCTCCTGCTTCTGGGGACTCTGGGGCCCGTGCCCGTCGTCCGTCTGGTCCCCTTGGGGTGGCTCCTCACCCGCTGGATCAGGACTGGTCTCAGCTGTCCCTCCATCGTCCCCTCCATCCAGCAGCCCCAGCACGGCCCCCCGGAGCACAGCAAAGCTCTGCCTGGAAGGGTGGTGGGGAAATGGGGGTGAGCCCTTCCTCTACAGCTGACAGAACGGCCCAGAAGCCTCATAAAACACACACACACACACACACACACACACACACACACACACACGGAGAGCCAGGAGGTCTGTCCTGAGGCCTGTGAATGGGCAAGTCCAACCGGTTCCCAGTGAACCCTGGAGGTGCGTTGGTTAAAGCGCCTCCCACCCACTCCCCAGCCCCCTCCTGGGACAAAGAAGGGGCAAGTGTGCTTCGAGGAAGGTTTTCAGCTTTGGAAAGCCCACGGGGCAGCTCTCCTCGGTGCCACTTGCATCTTTGAGTCAGCACTGACATGAGGGCAGTGGGGTGGGTCTAAGTGACCACAGAGGCTCTTGACCCCGGCCCATCTGGTCTCACTTATAAAGGGTGGGGGGAGCTGTTCCTCTTCTCCCACCTGCCTAACTTAAGAGATGCCCTGGACCCAGGAGTCCTTCCTCTCTTTGGCTTGGACCACTGACCTGAGCCAGGTCCAGGGTGGTGGGGGCAGGAGCCCCAACAGTCAGGGAGAGGGTGGAGGCAAAGGCGGTGGGCCACAGCCAGGGGGACACTGGCCTTAGGAAAGGCTCTTCAGGACCCTCCCAGCCTGACACCTGGAGTCTAAGATGGCAGGAGCCAGGCCCAGGACTGGATGGGGTGCCTCTGTAGGGGGGAGCCTCACCTTCGCTGGAGTCGGCTTCTCCGTTTGGTTGCTTGGTCCTGCTGAAAAAGGGGTCCCCATGGCAGAGTGAGAGGGGGGCTCTTCTCCATGCCCCTCTCTGGCGACTGCTGGGGGTGGAGGTGGGGCTTTGAGGATTCCCCTGCCTTCTCCTGTCAGGGGTGAGGACCCACTGGCTAGAAACGGGATCCACTCTCCACCCCACCTGCAGGAGCTGGGGTGCCCGACCCAGTCCAGGTGGAGGGAGGGAGACCTGGAGGGGTAGGTAGACCTGGTTGGCCCACATACGGGGCCAGGAAAGGGTGCTCCTCAGCCCAGACTGCACCAGGACTCCCAATTTTGTCTAGGTGGGAGTTCCCAGGGCCATCGTCGCCCCCACACCCCCCACAGCCTGCGTTTGGGGGGGCTCCT